GAATTTTGCATGACCCTGTGTCTAACTTATTTTCCACCCGTAATTTGGGGGCTGTCACTGCAGCATGCACGACTTTGCTTGGGTACCACGATGTCCTTGCCATAGTGCTAGTCGATGTTGAGACTGGTACCATGGCAACATCACTTACGACGCCCACTGCCAGGGTTGTCGTAGTGACCACTCACACTCAGGTAACCAAACCATGACTTGCAAATACTGTTCAATTGCGTTCCGTGATTTGAATACATGATGTAGTGTATATTTTAAGCATTGTAAAACATAGAAAGCTGACATACACAAGAATAATCGCTCTGTATAACAGACCACTGCAATAGGGTCATAGTGCCCATATATCATCAATTGAGCAACAAATGCACAAGCAGTGACAATAGGTTTACATTGCATTGATTCTTACAGCCAAAGCAGTTTTGTCGGACTGGGAGTATTGTGTTACATATGCTACAATAACAGGTTCGTGAAGTTACTCGGTAAGAATTTTTTTTTGAATTAAATATCTTGTTTTGTCTTATATAGAAATGTTTAGTATTTGGAAACAAGTAGCATTTATTGAAATCACAAGTCGCTCATAATTATGGATGACGCGACGAAATCAAAATCAAAATGCATGTCCAATTATGCCAATGACAACCAAAAATGTACTGATCTAAATATAGATATACTTTACCATATGTTTTCTCTGTCGCAAAGAAGTGGTATATTTGTTTAGTATAATATTGATGTGTCCTAGAAACTTGCGTATCATTTTCTTGTCATATTTTTTTTTTTTTTTACATTTTTTTGTAAAACGATGTGAAATTGTTTAAGTAACCATGATAATAGTTTTTTCTTAGCCAAGTATCTCATAAAATATACAAAAGCTATTCACTCGTAAAGTTACTACTACGATAAAAGGTCACTGTCACATTATCTCATAAACTAATTGTTAGGCCCCTCACTACATTAAGTACCGGATGAATAGATACAAATGTAATGGGGAACTCGTTGTTCATTGTACAGCCCCTGTTTAATACTTATTACGAACATGTAATGTTCATATTCAATTTTACAGTTAATAATTCTTAATTTAAATAGTGAAAACTATTTGTGATTGATTGATTTAGCATTGAAAGAAAATAATTTTGTGAGCTAACATTTCAAATACTTGAGTAATAGAACCTGGACTACATGGTAGAGGTAATCTCAATAGATTATTTTAAACACAAGTAATTATGTTAAAGGTTTTTTATTCATGTACCTCATAAAATATTCAAAAACTATTCACCCGTGAAGTTATCA